TGTGCAATTTACCAAACTCTTGTCTGGTTTAGAATTTCCTCGTTTTTTTTTTTTTTTTTTTTTAAATCCCAGTTGCAAGCCTTGTGTTTTGGAAATACTTAAAATCTGCAGTATTACCGGTAATAGATTATAAATTGTCCGTTATGAATAGTAATGACATGCGGAGTAAAAGTACGGTCACCGTGCAAGCAAAAACAGGTACTACTTATCGTGTACATAATAAATTAACTAAAGAATTGATTCCAAGTATTGAAGTTGCGTCTACATAAGTATACCAGTGTACTTGTACATGTATGTATTAGCATTGACGCACACTACAGAAAGCAAAACTGTGAAAGAGTCAGTGAAACTTAAAGCAACTTTTTGGAAAAACTTCAGCTGTTCCCAGAAAAAGTATTTCATTCTGTTTTATTCAATGAATAAAATCACTATGATTGTCTACGCTTGAGTAACATTTGTGTTGAATAAAGGCCGACCTACAAAGTACGGTACAAACATAGCTGGGACTATTTGCACACTTAAGGTCGTGCTTTGTGGCATGTAGTCATTATGATAACCCGTGATTGTGTGGTTTATCACTCAGTGTAAAAATTCTGTTTGCATGTATTTTGTACATAAATAAGCAAATAAAAAATCATTGATCATACATTTGTAATTGAAATAGGGGTTGTTTAAAATTAAGGGTCACTGCATACGTGTATCGGTACTTCCTTGGAACCTATGTTTCTGGAACGTTGAATTTGTGGTCTGTGGGTTAATTCTGCAGGTTGTGGGTTCGAGTCCAGCCTAGGGCTACAATGTACATGGTGCATACAGTGTGCCCTTGAGCAAGGCACTTTGTCACTCATTGCTTCTCTCCACCCAGGAGTAAATGGGTACCTGTGAGGGAGGCAGAGATGTTTTTTTTGTGGTCGGTTTTAGTTGTGTTGCCCCAAAATGGCAGCATCCAGCGGTACACTCCCCAGGGAGCTGAGATTGTCTTCGGAATGTTTCATTGGCCCAATGAAACATTCATGCACATGTACACGCACATGTACACGTACATGTAACTTTTTGTGCTTGAGCTTTTGAGGACCCAATAAACTGCTGGAAATAAGGTTAACTCCCTATGAGCCTTTCCTTGTGAAATAGGCTGTCTTCTCTCTGTACCGGTATTCCAAATGTACTACATGTACATGTACCGACCGGTATGCAATGACATGTAAAGAGCCAGGCACCGGACCGATACATGTAATACAAGTACAGCGCAAGTAGCCATCTTGTGATTGAGGACCCAATAAACTGCTGGAAACAAGACTAATTCCCCCCTGAGCCCTCGTGTAATGAAAACATCATAAAACAAGCTCAATGATCACTCTCATTGCTATCATCAACATCAGCGGCTGTTTTCTGTTCGCTAACGACCTCGGTGACAGATGTATTTCCTTCAAGTGCAGGGAGAAGTGGCAATTAAAGATTTCATCAGCTGCGTGTCTGGATGATATCCATAGCCTTGATACTCTCACTGGTAGATCATTGGCCTTATGCGTCAACTATAGAGGGCGGTGTTAGAAAGTGATGGTGGATAACATTCTTTTGGTGTCACAGTAATTAGGAATTTTTTTAAAGTATATACCGGTACATGTACATGTACATGTACACATCTGAAATAGTTGTAGAGCTGTATTTGAATATTTGATCATCTACCCAATTAACATCCGAATAGTATTTTACCAAATAAAATGTATTTGAAAGATGAGAGCCGTCTCGAAAGATGACCAAAAAAGTCTGTGATGTAAATTTAACTGTATCCATGGTATCAGTTGAGTGATTTTATAGCCCAAATTTACATCTTTACAATCAGTTAAATTTCAGCTAATCAGCAATCTAAAAAAACCAGCTGCGGGTACATACACGACATTAATGAAAAGTTTTTACCTCAATGTTAATATTCAAATATTCTGTCAAATACAATGTCAATGTTAACTTCAAATGTTCACATTTTTGATCAAATCCAAGTTCCAATAATCGAATATGAAATTATTAGAAAAATCCAGAGCCCTAAATACTTGTATACCAACCTTGTTATCGAAGAGCACTTTTGATTATTTTTTTTTAAGTTGGAGATTTCAATGGATAAATTTGTGGGCTGCACCACGAAGTGACGTACCGGTATCGTCTATGGAATTTGTGCCACGATACGTCACTTCGTGGTGCGATCGACGAATTAGACTATTTCCAGTATTACCCGAGGTCAACACATCAACATATGTACCCAGAATGCATTGCATTTTCTTTAGAAGATAGTCAGTTTGTCTTTTTGATTTGTCTCTTTTTTGTCTCATCTTGTTTCGTCTTGTCCGGTCTTGTCTTGTAACGTCAACCTTTTTTCAACCCTACACCTTCCTATCTATGTACCACCCTACGGTGTTAGCTTTCATTTTAAGGCAAAGCCAATTATTGCCCTCAAACGATTGCTTAATATTCACTTCGTGAAGCCCCACTTTCCGCCCGGCCGTTGTCTCTGGTTATTACCTGGCATTGATTGCGGTACCTGTGGCGCATTGATTGCCATCCAAGTAGCTGCAGTTGTAATCTCATACCAGCTTTCCCCTCCGGAGCTCCAACATTCGAGTTTTTATTCTAGCAGCGTGCACCGGCGCGGCCGTGATCATGTTCTTTTTGGAATAGGGGTCCCCGATACACTCAAACGTGATTGGAATCATCGATGATGTTCACAGACTGACTGCACATAGACGCTAGATGCAAAACATTCTCAGCCCTTGTTGTATTTAGGCCATATACTGCCTCGTGATGTTCATTTAGAGCCAGCTCGATATTATCGAGTTCACACTTAAGTACATGAATGACCTGACCTGCATATTTATATTAAAATGAGTTGCATGTACCGGATCATAGTAGTAGGCCTACATTTGTACATGTATACTTTTGCAGCGGTATATTGGAGTTTGAGAGTCCACGGTTTACCGTTGCCAAAATATCACGGTTTTCGGTATCAAGTCCTTTTCTGAGTGGAACATTTAATGTCATCAAAGTACAATGAGACAATGTAGTCCAAGCCTAGTATTAGATGTGTGGTGTGATTTATGTACAATAGTGATACATTGTATGTTGTATCTTGTCCTTGTAAGTTTCATGTTCTTGACATGCACTGAAAAAAAAAACTTAGTTGATGCCTAAGGGAAAAAAAAAAAAAATGTGAAGATTATCCACACTTTCTAATTCTATGTTCAAACACATAAATTTGTCCCTCCTGCTGTCAGAGCAGTCACAGACAATCACAACACCAATCCGTTTTGCCCTGCCATGCGTTTTTACACAAGCTACCGTTAGCCTTTAACAGTCAGATCGTATTTCTTGTAAACACTGTGACTAGTCAAATTCCATCAACAGACAAAAGCAAGTAACTGGTACAGTACTTGTAAGTACAATGTCAAGCAAAGATGCATCAAGTTTTATACATAAACATTCATTGCAAGTCAATCATGCTTTATGCTATGAGCAGGGGGCTCTCATAACTGTTAAAAACAGTCACTTGATTTAGTTTGACTGCTGGGATGGCTTTGTTGAATTTGCCAGCCAGAGAGTGAGGATTCACAAAGTCAGTTTCCCGGCGTTATAACCTTAAAATTCTAAAGGATCCGAAACATGGTGACATTTTGAGGATCCTGTGTCTCAAATTCATACTTCGGAAGCTGTGTCTGCAGTCCCAAGCACTTGCTTATAATCCGTAACTTTCTGAACTCCGAAATCATTCCAAATGGAGACATGATGGTATAAAATGTACATTTATCGTAATTACTTAGCCCTTCGGAAGGATTTATCAAGCTTAACAACATCATTAAAGCCAGGATTTGAGTGACCTTCGGTTTCCCTTTGTCATTGGGAAAGTCTGATTGTGATCGCCGACCAACTTTGTGGCAGTTTTGATAAAGCCAGCGTCCCTGAAACTGACTCAATTCTCAACAGAACGAAAGGCGACAGTCGAGAGGCTACGTAAGACACGACGATATCGTTGGGGACAGAATTGATTAATCAATGAGAAGTGCTTGCATTGTAAATGGGAAATGCATTTGGCGTATTTAGTGTCAACCACTTCAAAATGGATCCGACAGTGGAGTATGGATCGGTGACCTTAAGTTATTCAAGCTGCCCGATGGACACTTGAAATAATTTGACAAGTGCTAAAGAAGTTTTAGTTTCACTGGGAAAATATTTAATTTTAATGGCAGTACACTGTGATGAACTTCAGATGTTATTGCTGTGCTGTTTTTGCTTATGAAAATGTGTACATGCCTAATTCTATGAGCTCCGTGCGCTACCAAAAGAGGGCGCCCTTTTACCTAGCAACGACGTCCCATGGGCGGTACATGTACATTTAGCTGGTTGACACGCACCGTTCCTTGTGTGTGACGCGCGTACACCAGGGGATTTGTACATGTACACGCAGTGGCCGCGCACCCCCAACTGTACTTCCTTTGCCGGTGAGGGGGTACTTGTGAACGGAGCGGATACCTCCTACATGTAATTGTTTCCCAGGACTACTCTGCTTAACCCTAACCCCTATAGGAACCATCGTCAATCCTCCAAAATGTTGCACTTATGTTCAAGTGAAGGATACCCAACGCCTTAATCCTTCAAAATCATCAGACACTTCTTCCCTTAAAAAAATGGATTCATCCTCAATCATCCTCCTCTTCTTCAAACACCATTCATCCTCAATCCTCCAAAATTCTAGAATAGTTCGATCCCTTTGGATTAAGTAGGGTAAGAAATAATGTTATGTTGAGGTCCGCTGGATGTGCATGTACTTGTATTGAATTTTTCAACTTTTAAAGTAAAGGTGGAAACTTGGGCATATATTTTCAGCTTGGATTTCAATAATGGAAACTGTCCACTACACTTGAGAGTCATGTGCTTCTCAGATTTCACGGTTTAATTGTGACAATTCAAAAGATTTATTTCTCTTTTTTGTGTTTTGTTTTTGTTTTTACAGAGGAGGGGAGGCATATCGTTTGATCGGACGGACAAAGCGGCTATCTATGTTCGGATGCTCGGTAAGTGTTTAGAATTGTACTTAGTTCAATAAATGCAGCATACTTCATCTTTATGTGAGGATGTCATAGCGTACCGTATGTTAAGGTGCGCGCGCCATACCATGCATAATTGTGACCTGTTCTGTCAAAATCAGACTTTTCTGGGCATCATGTCAAAAATGAGATTTTTGCATATTGTTAAAATATGTTCTTTTTCCTTTTAATAGGTGATTCAATTTTCGAAACCGGTCATTCCTGGGCAGAGTTATGCTATTTTGAAGTTCATTGTGTTGAAAAGTAAAAAACGGAGAAAATGGCCACGAACGTCACAAAACAGTAATTTTTAAAACTGATATACCTTTACAAATCATCAAAAATACTATATTTAGAGTTCAAATTAGGGTTTCAAACTTTTATAATATATTTTAGACATGTTTAGGATTACAAATATGCAAACATTTGAAAATCGAAAAAAATCACCCCCACAGCGTTTTTTTTGGCCCTATCTTAATTTCAACCTCAGCCCAGAAGCGTCTGCTTTTGACAGAACAGGTCACAATTTACGTGGGTCATTCTATAAATTCGGGGTCCACTTTTTTTCCTGTCCTTGTTACGTCTGACATGTGATGTTATACATGTAGTTTTGATGCACACTGCAGTCGTCCTCCAAGAGTGATTATGAATAGCAAATACTATACCTACCCAACAAAAAAGCGCCTTTGAATGGCATTTTGTCAGATACTGTGCGCTGTATAAGTGCTATTTATTATTATTAAACGAGAAAATCATTTGAAATCATTTTTTTTTAATGATACATGTACTTGAATGGCAAATTACAAAGTACATGTCGAGGTAACATTGACAGGAAAATGTCACACTTTGGACCCAAAATGTATCGAATGACTCATATTGATATGTAACATTAGAAGCAAATTTGCATAACGGTATCGGTTTTGTGTACGTTCGAGTCCGTCATGCTCACTTGCACCCATCCCCTTTGCCGATTAATTTCTTATGCCAACCACAGAAATGAATTGGAAAAAGCCTGAATTTAATAATTTGTATGTTTTACTTGGTGAATTGATAGCACATTGACGACATTATGACATCAATTGGCGGTGTCGGTTACTGGAGTCAATTTCACAAATTGGATCCTGAACAAATTGTTGTATTTTCCTTTTTGGTCCGACAGATGTATCAATATTAAAAAAACATGGGGCTAATTAGATCGAAAATTTTTAAATATTGACTATTCTGAATGGCCTCTTAGCTATTAAAAAATTGAAAAACACTTTATGAGGTCGTGTAAAGTTTGGAATGTGGCTCGATGCACCTTGAAAGTTTCAAGTACAAAGCATGTGCCATTGGTTTTCTACATGTACACAGTAATGGATTTTGGAGGATTTGGGAAGATTCCTCTACTAAATAATGAAAAAAAAAACCAAGGGAACAGACAGACATTTCTGAAAGTGGATGCATTAAATAATACATGTATATTTGTTCAAGCTTTTTAATGATTTTGTTTACAAATTCCTGGCCCCCCCCCCCTCATTTTCTGCTTCCTATTGGAATGGGAGGTCCTTTCCCGCATGTATTCATTTTTCATGTCTGTCTGACAATACAATTTCCACTGTTCCCGTTTGTTTGGCTTGTAGTGACGAACACGCTGGCGCTTCAAGCGCAGTTCTCGAAACCCGTCAGAAACTTGTAACCGTTGATATTTGGGTTAGAAAAACACGGCGGGGCGCAGATCAATATGAGTTTGCGCCTGTGCTATATATCTGCCTCCTGCCCACGCGCTGGATGGGAAACACCGTATGGCGTCATCACTGGGAAAGACTGTGAGGTCGCGCCATTGTCAACCAATTACCAAAATCTGCATAGTTTCGCAATAAACATATTGACTTAATCGTTGTTGGACTGGACAAAGGTTCAAGTCTGTTTAGGAGGGTATTGCCGAGTGCGGTTTTGCAATAAGTTAGCTTGTGGCGGTGACAATGGGACAGTCTGAAGTAGACGTGTGTCACGACATGTAAGCGTGCTAGCGAAAACAAAGTATCCAGTGCTTCAAACCCCATTCGAGCAAGTGACGTGTTTACAGGACAAATTCCCGAGAAAGTGTACGGGTATCCGTTGCATCAGAGGCATCTGAATGCAGACTTTTCTTTTTGAGAAGGGACAGCACATATCTGAAGGGCTGCGGCCTCCATCAAGTTGCGATCGTTTACCCCGGAATCGCGTTACAACTCACAAAGGCTTGCACGCACACTGGCAACAATGGCCGCTGCGATTGGATATCACCGCTGACGTAATCAAGAATACTGGACGGATCAGTTGAGCGCAACAACTTGGCATTTTACACAAAAGTGGCGTGGAACCATGCACGTAATTGTACTTCTGTGCCAACAGATTCGCACTTTACAGACTCTCAGTCGACCATCAAGTGTTTGCTAAAGGTTTGCCAATATCGCTGCAGTCTCAGTTCCTTAGATTCTACATGTGAATGGCACAAACCGTGATAACTGTATCGCAAAATGACAAAGATAGGTGATCGCTGACAACACAATGAATCCGGTCGTGCTACACCTGTGGGCAAGGTAAGGGAGCAGCCGTGATCAACAGCGATAAAAAAGTAGGCCACAGGTGCGATCATCCGCGACACGTTTTAAAAAGGCGGGCCCTTTTTTTTCTTTCTATAATGGATGGAAAGTGACTTCTCAATGCATGACTGACGTCGCACTGGTTTCCGGCAACGGCAGGGGTTTAGTGAGAAATCGGTTTGGGATCTATGGTTCAGTGTGTCAGATGGTATCAGATTGGACTTGTTCTGTTCAGGCTGTGATGTCATACTGTGCAGATGCAATTCTGTGGACTCGACCTTTTACAAGGCTTTCATCGGTGAGCAGTGAATGAGATCTCTCTCAGCGGCATACGCACCCCGAGAGTCCGCCCACTCCCGTTCGTAATCAACATTCTCTTTCGGGAAAAGACAACACTAAATGCCAAACCATTTCAGAGTTGTGCCAACTATTCCGCTCCGGACATTATCAACCTGAACTTCGTCACACCGATACTCTGAAACAAAAGATTATAACGACTTGTATTTATCTCCAGAGGAGTATTCTAACGATCGCATCAACTGGGGAACACGCTGATGGTTTTTAGCCAACACAGGCAAAGAATTCTGAGGAGCAGGTGTAATTACTTCTAAGCCGATGCGCTCGTCTACGTGCTGGTCATGACTGTTTGCCGTTTCTGCTACGGTTTCTTGGAAAAATGAGCATGCGGAAATGACAGCACAGCATTGATTTTTCCACATCTTGGAGAAACACGCTTTTCCCCTAATAGGTGGAAGAAATATATCAAGAGTACACGTTTAGACCCATAGAAATTACACACTGTGCAGGGTACGAATGTACGTGTACTTAAATTTACATTGCAGTGTACATGCGTAGTTGCAGGCACTGTGCACAGTCTATGGACATTGTTAGAGCAGTTGTGCAACACAGATTCTATGGGAGTTGCAAAGCGTTGGATTTTCCATAGACACGGGACAATCTCTTGGCAGGTTTTTCTGAATTGTGTGTGTCTGTGCACAATAGGAAAGGTCGACTCTTCGTTGACACCAAAAAAAACCCGCTTGTTGCTGAATGAATTGGATACAGTGAACCCGTAAAACTTTACCATTTTTCCTCTACGCTAATGTTGTGCGTGTGTGTTCCGACGGGACAGCTTGTCGCAGGTATGAAAGTGTTTGGTAAGTCACCTCTTTTGTCTGAAATTTGTGTCTTTTTGAACAGTGATGCAACTTTGCAAAAATCCCTGATGCTTTTTCTTCTTCATGGCTTTTGGCCAGGACAACATGAAAAACTGCTGCAAACATACATTGTGTATACATGTACCGGTAATTACTTTTGACTTTTTACAAGGGAATAAATGTATGCTTGGGAGGTATTAAACACTCTTTTTAAGACCGGTTGGAGTCTTGATGCTGATAATTACATGTACCCGAGCGGTAAAAAAAAACAAACTCTTCAGTCCAAAAGTAAAAAATTACTCAATTTTAATCAATAATACACCCCTCTAGCTGTACAATGGTAAGGCACTCTGGTAAACAACTCCTTATTTATGGAGATTGGCGCGCGCTTCGCGCGTACTGCGTAATGTGGCGCACAACGCAGATGTACCGGTGTAGTGTAAATTTAGGACTATAAAATACTGACTCAAAGTGGTAGTACTGCGCATGCCTACCGGTATGTGAGGATTGTGAACGTTCAACCAATAAAACGGTAAAAGGCACTGGGCTTCACAGTAGTCAAAATTTCATGTGACGCTGGAAAAGTGTTTAAGACCACCCTGCCATGGCTTTATCAACCGGTTAAAACCGGCCACATGACGGGCTCTTGACCAATAGGAATGAGTCAACCGTCTAAGGTATTTATGAATGAAGACAACACCTTAAAATACATTTAGGACGTTACCTATGTAAAGGCATAGGATTCATGGGGAAAACGTTTTCAATAATTGAATGCCGGTGAAATCCTTAATGAAAACAAAGCCAAGTACGTATTTATTAATAAACTCAGGGTCAGTGTTTCTAGGATAATTCATGTGTTACCGGTACATGAACTTTGCACTGCCAGTTATCATTGGTTAACTTGAACTTTTGATTTGCGAATTTATGCATGTGTACACCAAACAGCCTCAGAAATTTTGCTACTGATAAGTGACCGGTTTAGTTCTTCCGCGGTGACACCAGGCTCGCATGAGTTGCACACTTGTAGTACACATGCACTCCGGACTCCTTAGACCGATTGGGTAACCAAGATGCGCGTTTGCCTCGTCTCTAAGAACACATGCGGCATGCGTGAGAGCATCGTGCCACCTCAGAAATGGCATCTAAGTTTGTTTGGTGAATTCCAGTATGCTAGAATCAACCAGGATATCAATCAATTGTGAACCGCCTTTGTGCGTTTGTGGATATGTGCACAATGTTACAGCAGTGTATTTTGAGAATTACA